GCTAGAGTGTGGCTTAGTGCACGTGAGAATATCAGCCAGCACACATTAAAACTGCTGCAAGCCGGCCAGTGTGGCTGAGCGGTTGAGCATCAACCTATGATCCAGGAGATCGTGGTTCTATTCCCAGTCATGGCACATGCCTGGACTGTGGGCTCAATCCCCAGGGCAGGGTTTGCAGGAGGCAGCTGATCAATGACTCTCTCATCATTGATGTTTCTATCCCTCTCCCTCTCCCTTCCTCTCTCTGAAATCAATAAAGATATTAAAAAAAAACAACACAAAAAACACCGAAGAAACCAAAAAACTGCTGCAGAAAGTCACACCACTCAAAAACAGAAACAAATACCACATGATGCAGTGTGATCATGTGCTAATCATTTGTTCAACATTGCGAGCGGTGACTCTTGGATTCAAATATGTAGACTATGGTTGTAGATATGTAATATTTATTTATGTTGACAAAATTACCACAGTGTTTTTTCCAACATATGGCCTATTTGCTAAAATTTGTTAAAAATAATAGTGAATTAATAACAAAAAAAAAAATAACTTGTTAATTTAATTATAAGCAAATCTTGGTTAAAAGCATTTAAAAATTAACATAGTATTAATTTTCAAATATGACATATGGACTGGAAATTTTGTCTGTTAAATTCAAAGTCTGTTAAATTGAGGTCCAAAAAATCAAGGGTTTACTTTACTCAATGGGCAAAAACTACAAGTGTTTCCCTAAATATTGGAAACAAGACAGGGATGTCCACTTTCACCACTCTTATTCAACATAGTACTGGAAGTCCTAGCCACAGCACTCAGACAAGAAGAAATAAAAGCCATCCAAATTGGAAAGGAAGGAGTAAAACCATCATTATTTGCAGATGACATGATACTGTATTTAGAAAACCCTAAAGATTCCACCAAGAAACTACTCGAACTGATAAATGAATTCAGCAAAGTAGCAGGATACAAAATAAATATCCAGAAATCAGTTGCATTTTTATACACTAATAATGAACTATCAGAAAGGGAAACCAAGAAAACATTCCCATTCACAATTGCTTCTAAAGGAATACAATACCTAAGAATAAATTTAATCAAGGATGTAAATGAGTTGTACTCAGAAAATTATAAGACACTGAAGAAAGAAACTAAGAAAATACAAATAAGTGGAAGTATATACTGTGTTCACGGATTAAAATGTCCATACTACCCAGACCTGGCCAGTTTGGCTCAGCGGTTAGAGTGCTGACCTGCAGACCAAAGGGTCTCAGGTTCGATTCCTGGTCAAGGGCATGTACCTCAGTTGCAGGTTTGATCCCCATCCCCGATCAGGGCTCATGTGGGAGGCAACCAAGCGATGTCTGTCTGTCTCTCCCTCTCCCTCTCCATCTTCCACTCTCTCTAAAAAATCAATGGGGAAAAAATATCCTCAGGTGAAGATTAAAAAAAAATGTCCATACTACCCAAAGCAATCTATAGATTCAACACAATTCCTATCAAGACACCAATGGTGTATGTCACAGGAGTAGAAAGAATATTCCAAAAATTTATATGGAACCATGAACGACTCCAAATAGCCACAGCAATCTTGAGAAAGAATAAAGTTGGAGGAATCACACTACCTGATATCAAACTATACTATAAGGCCATACTAATCAAAACAGCATGGTACTGATATAAAAACAGACACATAGAGCAATGGAACAGAATTAGAGAGCCCAGAAATAAACCCATGCCTTTATAGTCAATTAATATTTGACAAAGGAGGCAAAAACATACAATGGGGTAGTGATAATCTATTCAATAAATGGTTTGGGAAAATTGGACAGATATATGCAAAAATGAATCTAGATGACCTTCTTACACCATACACAAAAATAAACTTAAAATGGATTAAAAACTTAAATGTTAGACTCTAAACCATAAAAATCCTAGAAGAAAACATAGCCAGTACAATTTCTGACGTTTCCAATAACAATATGTTTTTCTGATATATCTCCTCAGGCAAGGGAAACAGAAGAAAAAATTAACCAATGGGACTAAATTAAACTAAAAGGCTTCTGCACAGCAAAGGAAACCATCAACAAAGTGAAAAGACTACTTACTGAATTTGAGAATATATTCACTGATATAACTTATTAAAACTCAACACCAAAAAACCAAACAATATAATTAAAAAATGGGCAAAGGACCTGGATAGATACTTCTCCAAAGACAACATACAGATGGTCAATAGACATATGCAAAGATGCTCAATGTCACTAATCATCAGAGAAATGCAAGTTAAAACCAGAATAAGATATCACCTTACACCTGTCACAATGGCTACCATCAATAAATCAACAAACAACAAGTGTTGGCAAGGATGTGGGGAAAAGGGAACCCTGTATACTCTTGGTGAGAATGCAGATTGGTATAGCCACTGTGGAAAACAGTATGGAGTTTCCTCAAAAAAATTAAAAACGAACTACCTTATGACCCAGTGATCCCACTTCTGAGAATTTATGTGAAGAAACCTGAAACACTGATTCGAAAGTATACATGCTATCCCTATATTCATAGCAGTGTTATTTACAATAGCCAAGATTTGGAAGCAGCCCAAGTGTCCATTAGTGGATGAGTGGATAAAAAAACCTGTGGTACATTTACACAATGGAATACTACTCAGCCATTAAAAAGAAGGAAATCTTACCCTTTGCAACAACATGTATGGACTTGGAGAGTATTATGCTAAGTGAAATAAGCCGGTCAGAGAAAGACAAGTACCATACGATTTCACTCATATGTAAAATCTAATGAACAAATTGAACTACCAAGCAAAATAGAGACAGACTCATAGATAGAGAGCAGGCTGACAGCTGTCAGGAAAGGGGGGGGATTGGGGGGTCTGGTTGGGGAGGTGGAAGTATTGAGCAAAAAAAAGAAAAAGGAAAAACTAATGAACATGGACAATAGTATAGTAATTGCCAGAGGGAAGGTGGTGTGGGGGAGGAAGACGAAGGAAAGGAGGGACAAATGGTTATGGAAAGGGACTTGACTTGGGGTGGTGAACAAATAATACTGTGTACAGGTGATGTGTACACAGTACACCTGAAACCTGTATGATTTTGTTAACCATTGTCGCCCCAATGAATTCAATAAAAAGGAAAACAATTGTAAATAAGAATGCAATTAAAACAGATTGTATGAATGTACTCCAGAAAGTAAGGTGCTGGAAGTTCTGAAACAACTAAATTTGATGTTCATGTGACCAAACCACAAGTTGGAATTTCTATTCAGTTGCTGTATCTGAGAGTGTCCTCTGTTGAGAAAGAAGAGGGCAGAGATCGATATTGTGTTTAAAATGATGGAAGTAGCAGCTTATCCATTATTTTTTTGCGATTTAACCTCAAGAAAAGAAAGATTCTTTGAATAATCTGCTGTCAAAAAGCAGAATAACATATTGATCAACAATGCCACCAATTTACAAAAAACTGCCAGTGAGTCTGAATTGTCCACTGAGCCATAAGGAAATGGTTTAGTGGATGGACTTATGAGATCTGCTGTTGAACAGATTTGGGCTAAATTTATATGTAGAAAGGAATTTCATGGCACAGAGAATCCTCTGACAAAACTATTAACTTGCTTGAGCAGAGTGAGGCATGGTGTCACATACAGATGCAGCAAGGTGGCTGCTCCCCGGGGCAGCAGATCCCTCCCTCAGAGAAGAGCAGAGCGTGAATCTTCTGGACCTCATGGTCAGTGTTGCAGCAGGAACTTTGAAGTATGTGGAAGGTTCTTTTGTATACTAAGTGAGGAATGTACTTGGAGATCTAAAAGCCCAGAAATATTTTTTTCTTCAAGCATGTAAAAAGAGACTTTGTGATGATCTTCAAAAAAAATCATTCCAAGCAATGCACACTGGACTCATAGGAGAAGAGAACCCCAATAGGTTCTCCCAGAGGGTGCATATCTCTACATTTCTCTGGAACACTTGGAAGAATCTATTATTTCTCAACCTGTGGCGTAATGTATTTTTTAAAATAAGTTTCCACTGTGTCCACTTTGGGACACACTTCCCAGAAACTGAAATATTCTTTTGTACTTCAAGCCTATTCACATCCATATAGCTGCTATACTTTTGCTGGCCCTCATTTGGCCGTTTGGAACAGAAACAGGTAAGTTGAAGACTAGCCACATCCCTGAATCTCACAGGAGAAGGTGTCCCAAAAAGTAAGAATATCCAGCAATTAATGAGGAAGAATTCATCCAGCAACCATCTGCTTCAGCTGCTGCAAAGTGAACTTTTCCAAACACTTGGTAATGCTAATTTTGACTGACAGACAAAGATAATTGACCAAGAAGAAAAATTGCAAAACTAAAGTAGCAGCTATGCTTTATTTCTCAGAAAAGGGGGGCTAAGGATAGCAAAAAGAACCAGGGCGTACATGTCTAGCTGTAATTAGGCTCATATAAATCATACAAAAGTGAACTTAAAAAAATCAATGTACTTACCTTGAAGCATTTTGGGCATTTTGATAATGAAATGAAATGAAATGAAATGTAAACAAGATGTATTAATCCAGAAAAGGTCAAGGATAATTCTTATGTGGATTCTGCATAAGTTTTACTAGAATCAAGATTTAAAAACACTGTCCCAACAAAACAAAAAGAGAATTACTATTATATAATAAACAGGTGTAGGGCACAATAACGCAAACTTTTGGTGTGTGTTCTAATCATATTTTGCAGTTTTATGGTTATTTTTTGGAGTGTTTCGGAAGGTAGTATAATAGCTCAGTGATCAGGGAGCTGAGGCTAGAGTGCGTCTGGGGTCAGGCTGACCTGGGCCTGAATCGTGGTCCCACCGCTTATTCACTTATTCGCAGTGTGGTTCTGAGCCTCATTTTCCTTACCTGTAAAATTAAATAATAATGGAATCTATCCCATAAAGAACTATTCAACAGGCATGGCCATTATTATTATCAATAATAAACATTAATATTTTGCTTCTTCTGTTGTAGATGATGTTAAAAAATTGTTGAGAGAGTTAGATGTCATGAATTCCGTTATTGCTCAGCTCGCTCCAGAAGGTAAATTGGCTTCCTATATGTATTTTTAAAAATAGGGCTGGTGTATTTTTCACATTTGATTACACTACTTATTGAAAATAGTTTGTGAAATGCCAAATGTGAATTGTCATTAAAAATATCTCAACAAGATGGGCTCCAGCCAAGGTAAGATTTGTGGAGCTTTGGTTTTTAAAACATGCTTTAAACTTTAAAGTTTAAAGTAATGGTTGAATAGGCATTTAGCATACTTATGTCATTTATTTTTGATATGCAGAAGAAGTAGTTATCCATGAGTTTGCTAGTCTTTGCCTAGCAAACATGTCTGCAGAGTATACCAGCAAAGTGCAAATATTTGAACACGGTGGATTAGAGCCTCTCATCAGACTGCTGAGCAGCCCAGACCCTGATGTGAAGAAGAATTCTATCGAGTGCATTTACAACTTGGTCCAGGTGAGATTCATTCCTAAAAATGTGTTTTCACCAAAGATGAGTATAGAATTTGCTTTCCCATTTAAAAAAAAAAAAAAACAAAACTTAAAAATCACCAGTTTTGATTAATCAGTACTTGTTGGTACTATTCAGTAGTGATCATTCAGAGATAAAATAAAGGAAGTTTAGTGCAGATCCCTTTCAGTTTTCACATTTTATATGTATTTGTCTCCCATGAAAGGGCATTTTAGAAATGTACTTAAAAAGAACAGAATGGTTTACAAATTAAGGTGGGATTATACTAGATAAGATGTGTTTCTTTTGAAACAGGAAATCGAATATTCATGTTGAAGTAGGTTTGACCTGGACAGTTACCTATTGATCTAACCTTGGTGATCTAAGCACCGTAATATAATATATGCCCTAGTCAGCGTACCAAGATTTTGGGGCAAGCTTATTTTTTGGTGAAAGTCTCCTGAGTCAGTATGCTGAACAGAATTCACTGTTCACAGTTGTAAGATGTGATCTCACTGTGCTGCTCTCTTTGTAAAGGAAACTGACCACCTTCTCCCCCCAGCCTGTGTTGTCCTCTGTCCCCCACCACGGCCCCTACCTCCCAGCACAGCATTGGCCCTCTCACACCCGCAGCAGGTCAGCTCCCTGTCGCTGTGGACAGCCTTCTCTGCTGCTTTTCCTGCTCAGGTTCCTGAACAATCCCCACGCCCATTTGATCTGCTTAGATCAACTGAAAATACAAAAACACCACTGTAAGGAGCCATCAGTGAGGGTGAAAGGAAGGGATGGCAGAGCAAAGGTGAGGGAAGGTTCACTGAAAAGCAAATTGTCTAGACAAATCATACAGAAAAAGAGAGGCCAATAGGCTTAAGCCAAGGACAGCAAAAGCATACATTCCTGACCTTAGAAGTCCTTGCCGCTTGGCTGGGCACTGACTGGTTTTACCCTTACTCCTCCCTAAAAAAGACTTTTCTGGTTACCTAAGGCTTTACCTTATCCAATAGGCCAAAATAATCCCCCAAATGTGTTTGTGTTTTACATCCCAAGACCCCTTACAGCTCTATTTTCCCATATATTTTTTTAAATGTTTTTATTGATTTTAGAGAGTGAGGAGGGGAGAGGGATGGAGAGATAGAAACATCTATGAGAAACATCGATCGCTGCCTCCTGCACCCCCCCTACTGGGGACCAATCCCACAACCTGGGCATGTGCCCTGATGGGGAACAGAACCAGTGACCTCTTGATGCATGGGGTAATGCTCGACCAACTGAGTCACGCTGGCCAGACTCCCCATAATTTTTTTATCAATTAGAAATGAAAAGACTTACCTCCACTATTCTTCATAACAGAAATACTAATTAATAATTGTGTTCTTAATTTCCTAGGACTGCTGTAACAAAGTATCAAAAACTGGGTCCCTTCAAACAACAGAAATTTATTCCCTAACAGTTCTGGAGGTGGGAATTCTGAAATCAAGGTGTCGGCAGGGCCATCCTCCCTCTGTGACTCTGGATAGAATCCTTCCTTGCTCCTTCCTAGCCTCTGACGGTGGCTGTCAGTCCTTGGTGTCACTTGGTTTGCAGCTGTAGCACTGCAATCTCTCCCTCTGTCAATTCTCTCTCTTTTAATAAAGACACCAATTTTTATAAGGACACAATTAAGTACCCACCCTACTCTACTATGGCCTTAATTATATCTGCAATGACCCTGTTTCCAAATAAGGTCACATTTTGAAGTACTGAGGGTTAGGACTTCAACCTCTATTTGCTGGGGATACAATTCAACTAAAACCAAACAGAAACCTCTAATTTTTATGTTTGAAGGAAGCTGAATATTAGCAGTTGAAGGATGGATAGAGGAAAGCTAAGCTGTAAATGGGGCCTTTTCCACCTTTAATACTATTTTACATTTACCACGTTTTGATTTAAAATGTCACAGTTTGGAAGCTTTTCATGGCATTTTGTCTTGTTTTTCCCATTGCTCACTCCAACCAACCCCTCCCTCACCAGCTCACACACACAAAATTACAGATACACAAGGCAGAGCAATTTGTCTAGAGTCTAATGACCCCTTGATATTGTAAATGTCTTAAATAAAGGTCATGTGTCTGAGCTAAACCTGATGTGAATTTGCGTGTGCAGGGTCTGCAAAAAGCACTGTGTGCATAAAAGCACATCATAAAAAATCCATTTGGATGAAGATAATAAGGAATAATGCCATCATTTCATTTTATCAAATACTATTGGAGACAGGACAGAGAGTGTGAAAAGAATTTCATTATGCATAGTTTTTGTTGTAATACTGTTTATAGTAGTCGGAATTTGCTGTAAAATAAAGAAACAATAGATATTGCAAAAGTCATAGATCATGTCTATGTCCTGTTATTGATAATGTCTGCATAGTTAAAATGGATATTTTGGTGTTGTCAGTTGAGGGTGTGCTTACTTTTGTTTGTGAATTATTTTGGAAGGGACTCTGCAATGAAAGATTTCAAAACTATAACTTTGAATATTCTTTGTTAGAAAATAGAAGTTCTCCATTTTTGAGGTTATATTTTACTTTTAAAATTACTTATTTGATCGTTTGTATTTCATGGCAGGATTTTACGTGTCGAACTACACTTCCAGAACTAAATGCAATCCCTTCTATATTAGAGCTTTTGAAGTCAGAATATCCAATTATTCAGTTGTTGGCTCTCAAAACCTTAGGTGTTATTACAAATGATAAGGAGTCACGAGCAATGCTAAGAGACAATCAAGGGATGGACCACCTTATTAAGATTCTGGAAACTAAGGTATCTAAAACATTTATTTAACTGTCTATGAGGAAATGTATCTCTCCTAAATGTTGTTATAAAATATAAATTATAGAATATTTTTAAATTTTTATATTTTTAGAAGAATTTTTAAATAAAATTTTATTTAAGCATGGTACTAAGTATAGTGGACTAATATGCTTATTGCTACATAGTTTGTCAGCATGATTAAATCAGACTAATGATAAAGGCCATTATAAAATAATTTTTGAAATCTCCTGGGAGGTTTCTGAAAAAATTAAAAATTGAGCTACCATATGACTCAGCCATTTCACATTTGGGTATTTATCTAAAGAAAATGATTACACTAACTCAGAAAGATATATGTGCCCCTATGTTCACTGCAGCATTATTTACTATAGCTGAGATCCTCCTTTTGCCTAACATGATACAACTATCACGTGTACAACCAAAAGTGCATGGACACTTTTCCCAGGATAGGATGCAAAGTCCTCAGATGATGTTTACCCTTCTCCTTGATATCCCATAACTTTACTATGAAGTCAGATTAACAATACTTAAACACTAGTTCATAAAGTCGTACATCTTATATAAGGGCATAGAGAGGGAAACATTAAAGGTGTTGCATATACACACATATTCATAACAAAATAAGGAAGGAATATTAATGACAATTACAACCTCTTTTCTATAACTGGTCACATGGTCATAGTTGGTATTTATAACTACCTTCTTCCAATACCCATCCCATATTCCCTTTGCCCTCAGCAAGTACTTTTGCTTGGTGGAGTGACCCAAATGTCATTTCTGAAGTGCCTGGGCCATAAGCAGTCTGCCTGGATTGGGTCCTTGTAGCTTTCCGTCTACTTTAATCACAAGGCACCCTTAGGAGACACCCGAATGGATCTCCTGTATTCCAGAGATACTCTTTCTTGCCTCTGTTATGGAGTAGCAGTCCGATTTCCTCTTGGTGGTGGGGATCAATCACCCCGGCCAACAGTAACTTCCTTCTTTGCCTGTCGATTTAGAGGCATAAGGAGCCCACAGTGGCCAGATGGTAGTGTTTTCTTTCCATGTCTTCTGGTGGAAGCATTTCTCCCTTTGGTACTAAGACCTCTAGATAAGCAGAGCATAAGGTCACAGAGACAGCAAAAATTTTGCTAGTGAGTCACTAGAGATAACAATGAGTGGTGTGCCTCCCATTTCCACCCCTTGATTCCTGGCACATGAACCCCGACTATGGTAGTAACAGCAGCATATGTTAGATGCTGATTCAGAACCTATAAAGCCTCCTGAAGAACCTTGCCCCAGACCTGCAAGGTATGCCCCTTGGCTAGCCCTGAAACTGAATCTTAAAAAGGCCTTTCTATCAAACCAGCTTTAGGATGATGAGAACCAGGGTGAGGCCAGTGAATTCTGTGAGTGTGGGCTCATTGCTGCACTTCTTCTGCTGTGAAGTAAGCTCCCTGGCCAGAAGCAATGCTGTGTGGAACACCTTGGCGGTGGCCCATCTTTTCTGTTTCTCTCACTTTAAGGGTTTCCACCTTAAATTTCTAGCTCAGGAAGACTGCAGTTTTCCATTGCTATGGGGATTTGGGAGATTCCTCACGCAAGACAGCCACACACTCACATCCTTCCCTCTACCAGTTGGAGATTTTAAGGAATATTACTTTTCTTCAGCTTCTGACTGCTTTTCCAAAAAAATTTTTCTTCAGATTTTAAAATTGTTGTTGGCAGAAGGTTGTATGGGCACCTTCACTTGGATACTATTGCCAGAAGTTTCCAGTAATTATTTTTACCTATAAAACACTTTGGAGTAGGGGAAATGAGAAAAGATGGGGCAAATGGTTAGGGAGTGTGATGTTACGTTAATAACAGAACTGTTTCCTCAGGCATCTGATCCCCAACAAAATTAATTACATTATGCTCTGACTGACCTTAATCCCTCTTGTGTAAAATTTGGAAAGTATAAGTTTCTTTTAGTATAACTTTCTAAAATTGTGTTTGCTTTTATTACTAGGAATTGAATGACCTTCATATAGAAGCACTTTCGGTGATAGCCAATTGCCTTGAAGATATGGATACTATGGTGCTGATTCAACAGACAGGGGGCCTTAAGAAGCTTTTAACATTTGCAGAAAACTCTACAGTTCCTGATATTCAAAAGAATGCAGCAAAAGCAATCACTAAAGCAGCTTATGATCGTACGTCTCAATTTATGTAGACTAAGCACACATGTTCCCTCTGTATTTTTTATTTTGTTTAGTACTAGCAAATACTAGAATATCTGTCTGCTTTTAAACCACCATTTAAGAATAGTGCTATACTTACTACTTAAGACAAAAATTCATCTCAATGCCAGTGAATTAAAGTAGAGATTGCTTTGTCAAGGACATAATATACTGAATGTGATCTAATTGTGACCGTATCTATTTTAAACAATTCAATCCTAAATTAAGTTTTAAGCCTTTGTTTCTCTTGATTTTGGCGTGATGCAGAATATGCGCATTGCTTGCGATCCTGAAAACATTATTTCAATAAATCCACATTTGGAATGCTATCTATGTAGTAATTTCAAGTTTCAGCTGAGTCAGTGCCATGTTACAGAGGTGTGAAAAATAATATGCTCATACTATATACATAATACAATTTCATTTCAGTGGCAAGCTATGTTGACATAAATCTGTAAAATATGAGAGATTAATTGTGTCACAAGCACCGAAGATGAAATTATAGTTTTAATTTATGTATATCTGGAGTATATGATTTAGTAAAAGATGTGACTTTATTTTTCCCCTTCCACATCACTCCTCATATAAATGATAACAACTTTGACTAGTTTAAGTGATTTATATTCTAAACATATATACTCATGTCTGTATGTATGTCTATGTGTATATTATGGAGAACATTTCCTTTTCAACCCATACTGGATTTCTTCAAGGCAAAGTTTGAATGCAGTAAGCCAAATTTCACTGTCCAGTACATAATTGATAAAGAGTTGCCTTTTGAGTTACTTTATATGCTCCATATCTAAAGATAGGCCATAAAATTAAGGTTTTAATATTGACAAAGATTGGTTGATTCAGAACTCTGTCTGATTGAACTAAACCTTGTCATATCTGGTCAGTTCTGTTTTCTATCTATCACAGGCCTTAGCTATTTGGGACCCAAAGAGAGGGCAGTAGGAAGATAGGGAAAATGTCACACCTAAAATTTTTGCATATCTCAACTTCTCTTTGAATTCATGTGGCTGAACTGTTAGAAGATTGTGTCAGTCTCTCTTGCAGTAGTGATTTCATGAGTTTATCACCCATCATGTGACACAGTAGTGGAGAGAGCACTCCGTGGAGGGTTCCTGGTGTTTTAGTTCTACTACTTGTTCCACTACTCGCACTGCACTGACCTCGGTATGTGACTATGAGTGAACAACAGCCTCTCTGGACCTATTTATTCATTCATTTATTAATGATTTATTGAGTCCAGCCCCTTGGTGTCAATAAAGCCAGAACAGGCAAGTAAATAGTCAATCATAGTGCAATGTTAAGTGTGTTTGATGATGAAAGAACAAGGTCACCTAGGAGGGCCACCTAATGGAGACCTGGATCAGGTAAGTCTTCCTGAAATAGAAAGGACCTATTCAGGCTAGAACCTAGAGTAAATAATACACTTTGGCTGGGCAAAGGAGATCCTGGTGGAATGGGAGAGGATCAGCAGTGCTCTAAGGTGACAGAACAGTATGTATAAAGGCCAGAGAGGGACAGAGCATGGTAAGTTCCAGAACTGAAAGTTTTCAGAGTGGTTAGTGAACAGAATGCAGCAGAAAACTGAGAGTTAATGTTGTAGAGTAATGAGGAGCCAAATGCTAATGGGTGTTATAAGCCAAGTTAAGGACTTTGAACTTTATATTGATAGCAACAAAAGGCATAGAATTGACTTAGAGAAAGGAGGGAACATTACAGATTTTCACTTTTTAAAGAAAGAGCACTCTTGTTGCAGGGTGGAGAAGAGATTGGAAATGTCCAGGCCCAGCCAAAAAGATCAGGAAGGAGATTGCTGGGGGTGATCTAGGTGAGAGGTGAAGGTGTCCTGAAACAGAGACGTGGTGCTGGAGATGGATTCAGAGGCAAGGAGAATTACCAGGACAGTGCTTGGCACATTGGAAGGTCCATAATTGTTTGTTGAATGACTACATGCATGGAAGTAGATGATGTCTAGGACAAGGCCAGGTTAATGGCTTCAGCAGCTGGAAATAGAATGGTGCCACTCATAGAAACAGGAACTCAGGAAGAGAAGCAGGTTTTGAGTGAAGGAAAGGAAATGAGAGTTCTATTCTTTTTTTAAATTGTCATAAAATACATATAAAATTTATCATCCTAATCATTTAAGTAATGGATAAGTAAATTCACTTAACCATTAAGTAAATCCACATTGTTGTGCCAGCACCACCAGCATTCATCCAAAGAACTCTCTTCATCTTACAAAGCTGACACTCTGTACCCATTAAACACTTTCCCTCCCTGCAGTCCCTGGCAACTACCATTCTTTCTGTTTCTATGATTTTGACTATTCTAAGTACTTACATAAGTGGAATTATACAATAATTGTCCTTTTGTGACGGGTTTATTTTACTTAGCATGATGTCCTCACTGTCCAACCATGTTATAGCATGTGTTGGAATTTCCTTCCTTTTTAAGGCTGAGTAATATTCCATTGTATGTATGGACCACATTTTGTTGGTCCATTCATCCATTGATGGGCATCTGGGTTTCTTCCACCTTCTGACTATTGGGAATAATGCTGTTGTTAACATGGGCATACAAATATCTCTTCAAGTCCCTGCTTTCAATTCTTTGGGGTGTATACCCAGAAATGGAATTGCTAGGTCATATGGTAATTCTATGTTTAATATTTTGAGGAATTGCCATACTGTTTTTCATAGCAGCTAAACTATTTTACATTCCCATCAGCAGGGCACATGAGTTCTAATTTATCCACTTTTCACCAACACTTATTTTTCATATTCTTAATTGAATTTATTGGAATGACATTGGTTAATAAAATTACATAGGTTTTGGGTGTATAATTCTATAATACATCATCCGTGTAATGTACTGTGTGTTCACCACCCTAAGTCAAGTCTCCTTCTATCACCATTTACACCCCCATACCCTGTTCAGCCTCCCTCCACCATTTTTTTTTCTCAATAGAAGCCATTCTAATGGGTGTGAAATGGTATTTTACTGTGTTTTGATTTGCATTTTCCTAATGACTAGTATGTTGCACATCTTCTCCCTGCACTTATTGACCATTTGTATATCTTCTTTGGGGAAATGTTTATTCAAATTCTTTTCCCATGTTTTAACCAGGTGGTTTATTTTTTTGTTACTGAGTTGTAGGAGTTCTTTATATATTCTAGATATTAACTTATTATCAGATACATGACTTGCAAATATTTTCTCCCATTCTTTGTGTTCCCTTTTCACTCTATTGATTGTGTCCTTTGATGCAGGGAAGTTTTCTATTTTGATGTCCAATTTATTTATTTTTTTCTTTTTCACCTGTGTTTTGTGTGTGAAATCCAAGAAATCATTAATGACATTAAATTCAATGTCATGAAGCTTTCCCCTTATGTTTTCTTCCAATAGTTTTAGTTTTAGCTCTTATATTTAGGTCTTTGATCTATTTTGAGTTTTTTTTTAATATGGTGTGAAGTAAGTATCCAACTTCATTCTTTTGCATGTGAATATCCAATGTACTCAGCACCATTTGTTGAAATCCATTCTTTATTTATAACACAAAAAATTGACAACATAGTCTTTAAGTCCCACCTGGCACTTAATGTTTTATGAATCTACTACATTACAGTTCCAAATTGTGTTTCCTGACTATTTTAGAATCTAATAACTGAATCTGTATTTAGTTCACCTATGCCATTTGTGATTTTTTTTTTCATGTTCCCTTCAACTATCTCTTTTGCAGGCTATAGAATCCTTGTCTTGTTTAGTCTTTCCCAATAATCATGTTCTCGGGTTACACTGTAATCATTTTCTTACCTTTTCTGGACTTTCTTGTATTCATGATACCCTCCTTGAAGTATAGTGATAAGCATTATGACCAACATTTTAAAAACATGCACCATAATTTATATAATATGAAGATGGGCAATTTTATAATTTATTTTCAATCTTAGTCTGATAAAGCAGGTATTTTAGTCAGACTTTTGACCATATCTGCATATTGGTCCAGCCCTTTGAAAGAAAGACCTACAGTGAATCCCAGGCCTCATTTCTCATTCAGGATGCAGAGCTCATAAGTTTTTCATTTTAAAATCTAAAATTTTTTATTTTGGAAAAATTCAAATTTTACTTTACATTTTCATTGAAGCCTTGTATATTATCAGTGTATCCAAGTATTCTATGCAATCTTGAAAGGGTATATTCTTTGCCTACTACTTAACAAATATTTATTGTGTGCATGCCCTATGCAAGGCACTATTCTAGAAGACAAGGATAATAGTGAATAAGTGAATAAATATTTGTTGAATAGACTAAAAGGTGTATTTCCTGTAGAATGTAGAGTTTGCTATTTATCTTTTAGCTCTACTTTATAAATTATATTGTACAGTCCTTTTTGCCTTTATTTATTTATTTTTATTTATTTATTTATTTTAAAATATATTGTTATTGATTTCAGAGAGAGGAAAGGGAGGGAGAGAGAGAAACATCAATGATGAAAGAGTCATTGATCAGCTGCCTCCTGCATGCCCCCAACTGGGGATCGAGCCCGCAGCCCGGGGAATGTGCTCTGACTAGTAATTGAACCGGGATCGCTTGGATCCTAGGTCAATGCTCAACCACTGAGCCACGCCCAGCCGGGCTTGTCTTTATTTTTTACTTATTTTGACCTATCACTGATGAAGAGTGGTATATTAGAAGTTTCCCACTAGGTTGTTTCTGTTGATTTTCTCTTATAACTTTATTTCGACTTTGTTTCATTTAATATTATTTTATATCCACTACTGATTTTTTTAAAACCTCACTTACTGCTTTTTAGCTTTAAATTCTAATTTGATATTAAGATTACCATGTATTATCTGTTGGTCTGGGCAGAACACAGTTCTGTAAACTCCAGATGGTTTAAATGAAGAGAAAGTGGAGAGCCTACTTTTACAGGTATAGGCAGGGTTAATGAAACAAACAAG